TTTTTTTGATTGTGATTAAGTGATTACATAGTTTCTAAGTCACAAGTTCATTCTAACTTTCCTGGAACAAATTGTCTATCACAGTCTGTAATATATAACAGTGTTCACATGTTATACACCATACATGTGATCAGCATCTTGCTATTGTTTTTAACGTATAGTATGTGATTTTTTTGTTTCTTTGATATGTTCCTCCCCCACGGTATAACCCCTGTTTTCACTGTATTTGATTCCAGTGCCCTGCATCTTGTATATACATTTTCTAATTTGGGGAGGGGAAGGAAAAAAAAACAAAATGCTTAAATAGGGATACAAGCTGACCCATTGTAACAATGAGATGTACAAGACACTATATTGAAAACGAACTTTACAACTTCGAGGGTGGGAGGAGGGAGCAGGGAGGAGGGAGGAGTTTGGGAAGTGAGGAGGGAAGGGATGGATGGTAGGGGAAAAACAGAGGAAGTGGTAACAATGTTGGATAGGAAATGTAATCATTACCTTACTCATAACTGTAACGCCTCTGTACAGTATCTTCTTTTTTTTGGGGGGGGGTCTGGTCATGGGGCCTGAACTCTAGGCCTGGGCGCTGTCCCTCAGCTCTTCAGCTCAAGCACCACTTCCAGCTTTTTTCCTTTTTGCTTATGTGGTGCTGAGGAATCAAACCCAGGGCCTCAGGCATGCAAGGCAAGCGCTCTACCACTGAGCCACCTGTACAGTATCTTTACAATAAAAAATATATTTAAAAAAAAAGATAAAAAAGAAATGTACTCATTACCTTACTCATGTAACTGTAACTCCTCTGTACAGCATCTTTACAATAAAATTAAATTTTAAAAAGAAATTAAAGAAAAAAAAGAATCTAGCTTAAGAAATAAAGGGAAAACCAGGTGCTGGTGGCTTACACCTATAATCCTAGCTACTCAGGAAGCTGAGATATGGGGATCAAGGTTCAAAGCCAATCTAGGCAGGTGACTCTTATCTCCAAATGATCACCAAAAAGGCAGAGGTAAAGCTGTGGCTCAAGTGGTAGAATGCTAGCCTGAGCAAGCTAAGGGACAGTGTCCAGGCTCTGAGTTCAAACCCCAGTAACAGCACTAAAGAAAGAAAAAGGATAGAGATAATAGACCTCACATTCAGAAAAGACGATTGTCTAATCAACTTAGTGGTCAGAAAAAGAATCAGGAAGAACAGAAATTAGGTCATGTCTCCTTCTTTCCCTTACATTTAGAGAGGAGCTGTTTCTGGTCTCTGTCCTTTCTATACCTCTACCACCATCAACTTCTCCCAATTACCACCATCAACTTCTCCCAACTCTCAAAGTTTTACCTTCTTTTCCTGAAGGAGTTGATCAGTGGGCTCAGGATGAGATTCAGAATTCCCAGATGTGAGCTTTAGGCCCAGGGGCTCCATGTCTTCTTCCTCTCCCAAACTTAGACTATAAAAAGGCATTTGGGTCTCTGCTTCTTCTTTTTCTTTTGGCTTTTCCTTTTCTTCTGAATAGCACCAAAGCCCCTAAAAGATTAGGAATTACAGCATGCACTCAAACACATGGATGAAGGTGACTTCTAGATATAGGAAAGACCTACATCTCTGTGTAGCAATGGTAAACCCCTCTTCTTCCCACCCTAACACTGATCAGTGTTAGTCTTGTCCTATATGCCCCAGTGCTCTCATGGTCATACATTTCCCTATACAACCTGCAACCTTCTCCTCCTCCCCCTCCTCCTCCTCTTTCTTCCCTTTCTTCTCCTTCTCCTCCTCCTCCTCCTCCTCCTCCTCCTCTTCTTCTTCTTCTTCTTCTTCTTCTTCTTCTTCTTCTTCTTCTTCTTCTTCTTCTTC